AATATAGTAGAATGAATTAGTTCGGCTAAAGAGATACAATGCAAATGTCTCCAGCCTCACTTCTTGATTCACTTTAATAATTCATAAGCCTTTGAAGAAAGTTTGCAATTTTACATGCAAAAATTTAGGCCTAATGTGATTTCCCTAGCAACTTTCAAAAAAAGAAACTCTTTCACTCAATTTTATAATTTCTCCAGGGAGAGAAAAGATAGCATCGACTATCCTTAGTTTCCAGGAAGACACGATGATAAGAGAATAAATGATATGATCAAGGCCACGTGGCTAATTAACAGCAGACCACGGACAACAGGCCTCCAAATAACAGAAGAGCAAGGAAATTCAACCAAAAGGATCAACTCTGTCTTTGATACAGAAAGTCTACAATTAATGACTCTGAAACAATATAATTCCCAAAAGAGTTAAAGACCTCATCCGACATGGATACATGCATACCCATGTTAACAGAAGCACAATTCCTAATAGCTAAATCTTAGAAACAGCCTATATGTCTATCAGCAGGAGAATGGATAAAGAAAATGTGGTATTTACACACAACGGAGTACTGCTCTGCCAAAAAAGGATAAACTTGAGGCATTTGTAGCCAAATGGATGCATCTAGAGATCACAATGTAAAGTGAAATAAATCAGACACGCACGCTTAAATATCACTTGGTTTTCCCTTATATGAGAAATCCACAGCATAAATAAAGAGCAAAATGAAAGATAAGATAGCAGGAAATAGGGAGACAGATCTTTCTTAAAGGAAAAGGCAATCAAGAGATGGAGAGCGTGGGAAAGAGGAGATGAAAAGAGGAATTAAGTTGTTTTATGTACGTGTACCAACTCCCCACCAGGAATGCAGACATGATGTACTACAAACATATACTAATAAAAAAGCCCTCAAAAATAACAACGAAAAAATGAATATAATGAGAAACTATCCAACTACATTGTCGGGCTTCATAGCCCTAGGAAAAACCTGCAAAATGCAGTATCTACCCATCGTACTCTAAGCTGATTACACTACCATTTGCCTGAATAAGGGGTCCCGTGGCATGGGCTTACAGTCCTAGTAAGCTTTCTAACTCCTAAGACCACAAGGACCATGTGTTTTGACAAGCTAAAGCAAGTCCAAAGCATTAAAACCATGTATGGCCATTTTAAAAAATGCAGTGCCATATAAAGAAATCAAAGGGAACAAATAATTATGTTCCAAGTGATCAGTCTGATTTCTCAATATAGAAGTGCTATAACGTGGATCTTAAACATCCCTCAAAGGCCCACAGGTTAAAAGCCTGGGCCAAAACTCCTGGCATTGTTGAGGGCGGTGGAGCCTTTTCAACAGCGGGTGTGGTGTGAAGAAGTTAATTAGGGCCGTGCCTTTGAAGGGGAGAGTGGGACCTACCCCTTTCTTCAGGTTCTCTCTTTGCTTCCTGCTGCAAAGAGGTGAGTGAATGGTCCCCTCCACCACATGCACGGCCATGATAATGAGCCATCACAGGACCAAAGGAAGGAAGCCCACTGGTCAGGACTAGACCCTCTAAAACTGTAAGCCGAAATAAACCTTCTTTCTTTTAACATTAAATACTTCAGGTACTTTGTACAATGAAAAGCTATAGCCAAGTGTAGTGGTGCACACCTGTAATCCCAGCACTCAAGAGAACCTGAGGAATGAGGATTGCCGTGAGTTTGGGGCCAGCCTGAACTACACAGTAAGATCCTATCTCAAAAAAAAAAAAAAAAAAGAAGACAGGTGAAAGCTAACACAAAGAAAAAACCAAATATCATACTCTATGGCCTTAATGAAACCATTACAAAATAAAATGGGATTATTTCTCAATGGTTGAGACTTTTCACCCCTGAATTTTAGAGAATTATTTTATATGAATGAATCCACAGCTTTGAAAACTACCTACATGTAAATAAAAATCACATGAAAATGGGATGAAGGATAAGAAGTAAGTTTTTTGGTCCCCTTTAGAAATGAAATGAGCCTTAATTAAGGGGCCAGATGCTTCCTGAAAGCATCTTAGAAGTTTTTGCAATATTATTTACATATTTCATGTACAGCATAGTTTGGAAATGATCATTGGTTTAATGATCATAAGATTAATTCTATTTGATATTACAGAAATTGTTTCCTAAGCTGCCCTGTTTTCAAAGCAGAACAGTAGTATACTTTTCTGCATCATAGAGATAATGTACACTATCAAGTAAAATATTATAGTATTTTTTTTTCAGTACTGATGATTGAACCCACGGCCTTTGCGCTAAGATACAAACATAGCCCTTTTTAAAAAAATTATGAGACAGAGTCTCAATAAGTCATTAAGTTGTCCAGGATGGGCTCTAGCTTGTGATCCTCCTGCCTCAGCCTCCTATCGTGCTAGGATTATAGGTAAGAACCATCACATCTGGCTGAGATTATCAAAGCACTTTTATAGTTTGTTGTGACTATTGCATAAGGATTCTCTCAACCTATAACCCACTTAAAACTAGACTGCCATCATGCTACCCTGAGTACCCTTTGGACACTTTTCACTGAGAGCCAGGAAATGCCATCAGGGCACATCAGCAATGACATTCCCCCGTGCCCTCTGAAAAGTCATTCATAAGCAGGTACCAGGAGGGAGGTATGGTCATTTCTAACTCCTACATCTACAGTAGTATGTGGGTATATGAACCTTTGAGCAAGCTATTGCAGAAAAAGAATATTCAAAGCACCAACAACAGCATTTGTAAAGGCTCCTCTTCAGCTGCACCTAGCTGTTTGCAGGCATTATCAGATTAATTTCAACAACACTCAGCTCATTAACAGAAACATTCTGTAATGCACTGCACAAAGACTTTCTAAGGAGACTCAACTTTCAAAACACAAGCAAGAAACACTGCCCACAAAGAAGAAACATTTGTACAAAAGTATATGCCATAGTAATAGTTATTCAAGCTTATGCCTCTTAAGGTTTAAAAATTACTGTGTGTAGCCAAAGAAAAACACCCTGGGCTGGGACTCTGGAGGCAGAGTTATAGCTCCACTTTTCGGTATGCAGGTCGTACATCTTGAGTTGGTCACTTCATTTCCTTTTACCTGTGTCCTGATTGCTAATGTAAGTAGGGGATAGTCAACAACTGTTGAAGTTGTCGCTTCCTGATTTACACCTACAGCCCTGCTAGTGTTTGTTTTATAAGTTATCCGTATGCATACCTTTACTGACAAGATACGACAGGAACATTACTTTGTGTCTAGGTGTTATACTCTATTCCCATCCTTTCTATTATTCTGTCCACAAATGTCACTATTGCACGTACTCACCAAGACAGTCATAATTACTGGAGCTGCTACTACTTGCACAGGGCTTATTATAAGCATTATGCTAAGCACTTCACACACATTAACTCTATTCTTTCTCACCACGACCCTATGAAGTAGACAGCATTTTTAGCCCCATTTTTAAAACTGAAGAAACTAAGGTGACCTGTCCGAGTTCATTAGGCTTATAAGTAGAAAGGCTACTCCATTACACACACCTACAGGTCAGGGGAGAACAAAGTGCACCAGACTTCAGCTGCAAAATGCTGTCAGCGTCCCCAGAACCCAACTTGGACCTGTGAATTCTCTGGGCAGCATGCTTTACAAACCCAGCACAGACACTTGCTGCTGCTATTTCTTCCTTCCGCACTCCAGATTCACGAGAAAATACTAACACTGGCAAAAAAAGGATTAAATTAAAGCTGCCTTCCTTCTCAGTCATTTAGGGAAATGCACGACTCGCAGGAACTGTGTGAGACCACTGGTGACTTTCAAGCCCTGGAGCTAAGGCAGCTGCGCTCCGTCATAACAAGGTTCCCAGTCACAATCCAGGCACCTTGCATGTCAAGCCATGTGCTCCAAAACCTAACAGCTAAGAGCAGTGACCAGCCCGACGGGAAAACAGCAGTTTCTCAGCCTCAAAATTCTCCCACTAAGGGAGTGTAAAAGCCTGGGACCAACCAAAAAAAAAAAAAAAAAAAAGAAGACAGGTGAAA